GGCGGACACGAACGATTTGTTTTTCTTTGGAGACGATTTTGACGCTATTCTAGGTATTTTGGAAGAAGAAGAAGAGCTTGATGAACAGTTTAGAGAAGCTGCCAATGAAGTAAGTATTATATTCTTTCTTAGCAACCCAAAATTTAGCGAAAAGCGCCGTGCTTTGACATTCATCGTCTTTTAGCTCGATGGACTGTCATCGGGTATCATCGATGCTGCTTTTTTGTAGCGACTTGTGTTATAACTAAATTCTTATAACTATGTGGCGTACTTTACTGACGATGTAATTATTAAGCATTTTCTTATTTCCATTATCTATGCTTAGAGCTAGACTTTGTAGTATCATTTTATGACTGATTTCTCGACTGAAAGTTACTTTTGCTTACAACAGGTTCAACTCAAAGACATTGTGTGCGAACTGTGCCACAAGAAATGCAAAAGCAAGAGCGGACTGAAACGACACAAGACAGTTAAACACAGAGATACGAGAGAAGATGTTGAGAAGCAGAAAGAAGGAGGACAAGAAAGCTATTTAACTTTTGTAGCTTACTCAAGAATTGTAGAAAAAGCTAAACACAAAATTGCTGACAACAAAATTTATCCAAAAACAATCAGAGACGAGCTAAGATGCTACACCCACAACAACAGTCTACAAGACATACCAGCTGAATTCTGCGACATTGAAGACCTATATAAACGCTTGACAAAGTCTGGAAATGCTGAAAGATTTTATTCTTGCTTCTACTCAACCATGGCTCTGAATGTAGTTAAGCATTTTAAGGGATTATCAAGGAACGCTGCTACTCTACTGTCTACCAAGGTTGCTGATTGTATGTTGGCACACAGCAAGGAGAAAATTGAAAGCACTTATACTTGCGCCCCATTAACTAAACTTTCAGATGACGAAAAAGCTGGACGACAGTATATTGGCGGTTATGTGCTTCATAAACTTCATACCAAGCATGCCAGTAAATCATCAGAAAGTGAGCAGGCAATCTCCATCCTTAAGGCTGGCAAATTAGAAGACCAGAATGCTATTGAATGCCAGAAGTTAACTTCATCCTTAAATCGTGGTGGTTTGTGGGCAATTACAAAAAGTGCTCAATCAATTTTTGAGAGAACTGAACATTATTTCAGGGATACCACTTCAAATACTACTGTGCAAAATGTAGCTTTTGCTAGTATTATATCAAGATCTGTTCATGATGTTGAAGTTGTCTCAGCATACAATTCACTGTTATCCAATTCTCAACTGATAATCAACAGTAGTGTTGCAAAAGATGTTTTGCACAACATCATACAAATGTATATCAAAGTGCAGTCATTTTTCTTTTGCGAAAGATATCATCCAGAAACATAAGATTAGACTGAAACAAATGAAATACAAAGCACTTCATAAGGACATTAGCAGAGCCTCCCATGAGTTTGATCAACTAAGGCAAAGCTAAACTCTGAAAATCATCATGCGAGAAACAATTTAATTTATTGACCCCTAGACCATATTTGTATATTCCTAATCATTTCTAATAAGTTGCTGTTGCATTTGTTGTTAAAAATTTTAAAACAATAACTGATTAAGAATAAAAAATATTT